CAAATTAAAATTAAATAAATCAAATAATTAGTGAGCCCCCCATGCTACTACACCACACGAGCATGACACTAAAGACCTATAAGAAATCATTGACGAAACATCTGCTGACGGCAGCAAAATCCCTGATACCCACAATGTGGAAACAGACGGCAACCCCCACCTTCCAGCAGTGGGTAGATAGAGTAGGAGAAATTCGTTCCATGGAAAGCATGACAGCAGCCATCCAAGGCCGCACGGAAAAATGTAACCTGACATGGACCCCCTGGCTCCTGTACATTGCTGCGGACAGAACTGTACCCTAAAACACCTGCCACTCTTTTCCCCTCCACCCCCAGCTGCTCCACTCACACCTCTTCCTATTAGGATATATATACCCCCTTCCTCTCTCCCGCCCCTCCTTACTCCCTTCCCTTCCCCCTCATCCACGTCCCCCACCTATCCGGACATTGCTGGGCCAGACTATCTCAATTTTAGATATGGACCAGGACATGCATGCCATGACAGATCACCGAACAGACGCCACAACCCAAGCAGGCGATGGGGGGGTTAACAGACAAAGGTCCACATACTCAGACTATAATACCGCGTACGCCTAAGTCACCCTAGATGCCCACAGACTTATAACTACACATATGGGGGACATCGCAGTAGGATCAGCCGCATGGGCACTCCTGTCCGTATGACCCACACACTGACACCCCTCCGCCAGGACGACCACACTTGACAGGCGCAGAAGCCATACAAAAGAGGCTAACCGTCTCAAACGTTGACGAGAACCACTACATTCGATATGTGCGACACGCAAACAGACTCTATTCATGCCGAAATAATCTAGATAATCGCAAGTGGCTAAAAGAGGGACAGAATTGAAAGTGCGGATCCTGTGACCCTTGGTGTTCGCTATAGTTAAGGCGACTCCCCTACCCCTGACTAATCTCCTTTTCCTATTCTCTCCCACACCCCCATTTATCTTGGATAATAACAGATAACTGAAGAATGTCAAAAACAAACAATAAGAATAATAAGGTATAAAGAAGTCAGATGGGTTGTATTTCACAGTTGTTTTATAGATAGAACTGTATTATAAATGCGACTTCTATGTGGTTCTTGAATGTACCCTTGGATCGTGACACTAACGCAAAGCTATTGTGCTCTTCTTTCTGTATTTTTCGGTTTATGAAAACGCAAAATAAAGATTGTCAAAAAAAAATAAAATAATAATAATTAGTGAGTGTGTCTGTCGGTGAATGTGTCTGTTAAGGTGACCGCACCCCCCTCTGATAGTATGGGAAAAGTGCTTTTACTTCCCTTTTCCCCCCCTTTGGCACCACCTCCAATGACTTAGATCATCAATCTTGTTGATCTCAGCCAATCCAGTGCTTTGCAGTTTGGATTATAAATCACCAAGGATGGTACAGAGTGGGAATATGGGGTACAGTGGGATGTCTAGGGTCTGGGTGAGGTACCCAGATTAATGGGGTACAGAGAGGGACAGTGGTCTGTCGCTTGGTGCAGTACATGGTATAGGGTTCTGAGGTGACATTGACCTGTCTCTGGGGCCAGTACATGGTATTTGGGTTACCAGGGTGACACTGACCTGTCCCTACAGGCATAACATGGTATTAGAGTACCGGGGTGACAATGACCCATGCTTGGGGGCCATCAATGGTATTAAAGTACCAGAGTGACACTGACCTGTGCCCTGTACATGGTATTTGGGTGGTGATTACTGAACTGTCCCTGGCTGGAGGGGGTACAAAGTGGGAAGGTACATAGTATTGGCTGACCTGTCCCGGGGCTGTCCCTGGGAGCCGTACATGGTATTGGGTAACAGTGACCTGTCCTGGGGGCCGTACATGGTATTAGCATACAGTAAGTTACCAGGTGACACTGACCTATCCCGGGGCTGTCTCTAAGGGCCGTACATGGTATTAGCATACAGTGGGTTCCCGGGTGACACTGACCTGTCCCGGGGCTGTCCCTGAGGGCCGTACATGGTAATAGCATACAGTGGGTTACCGGGTGACACTGACCTGTCCCGGGGGTGTCTCTAAGGGCCGTACATGGTATTAGCATACAGTGGGTTACCGGGTGACAGTGACCTGTCCCGGGGCTGTCCCTAAGGGCCGTACATGGTATTAGCATACAGTGGGTTACCGGGTGACAGTGACCTGTACCGGGGGCTTTCCTTGGGGGCCGTACCTGGTATTAGCATACAGTGGGTTACCGGGTGACAGTGACCTGTCCCGGGGCTGTCCCTAAGGACCGTACATGGTATTAGCATACAGTGAGTTACCGGGGTACACTGACCTGTCCCAGGGCTGTCCCTGGGGGCAGTACATGGTATTAGCATACAGTGAGTTACCGGGTGACACTGACCTGTCCCGGGGCTGTCCCTGGGGGCCGTAGATGGTATTAGCATACAGTGGGTTACCGGGTGACACTGACCTGTCCCGGGGCTGTGCCTGGGGGCCGTACATGGTATTAGCATACAGTGGGTTACCGGGTGACACTGACCTGTCCCGGGGCTGTCCCTGGGGGCCGTACATGGTATTAGCATACAGTGGGTTACCGGGTGACACTGACCTGTCCCGGGGCTGTGCCTGGGGGCCGTACATGGTATTAGCATACAGTGGGTTACCGGGTGACACTGACCTGTCCCGGGGCTGTCCCTGGGGGGCCGTACATGGTATTAGCATACAGTGGGTTCCCGGGTGACACTGACCTGTCCCGGGGCTGTCCCTGAGGGCCGTACATGGTAATAGCATACAGTGGGTTACCGGGTGACACTGACCTGTCCCGGGGGTGTCTCTAAAGGCCGTACATGGTATTGGGTAACAGTGACCTGTCCTGGGGGCCGTACATGGTATTAGCATACAGTGGGTTACCGGGTGACACTGACCTGTCCCGGGGCTGTCCCTGGGGGCCGTAGATGGTATTAGCATACAGTGGGTTACCGGGTGACACTGACCTGTCCCGGGGCTGTCCCTGGGGGCCGTAGATGGTATTAGCATACAGTGGGTTACCGGGTGACACTGACCTGTCCCGGGGCTGTCCCTGGGGGCCGTACATGGTATTAGCATACAGTGAGTTACCGGGTGACACTGACCTGTCCCGGGGCTGTCCCTGGGGGCCGTACATGGTAATAGCATACAGTGGGTTACCGGGTGACACTGACCTGTCCCGGGGCTGTCCCTGGGGGCCGTACATGGTATTAGCATACAGTGAGTTACCGGGTGACACTGACCTGTCCCGGGGCTGTCCCTGGGGGCCGTAGATGGTATTAGCATACAGTGGGTTACCGGGTGACACTGACCTGTCCCGGGGCTGTGCCTGGGGGCCGTACATGGTATTAGCATACAGTGGGTTACCGGGTGACACTGACCTGTCCCGGGGCTGTCCCTGGGGGCCGTAGATGGTATTAGCATACAGTGAGTTACCGGGTGACACTGACCTGTCCCGGGGCTGTCCCTGGGGGCCGTAGATGGTATTAGCATACAGTGGGTTACCGGGTGACACTGACCTGTCCCGGGGCTGTCCCCGGGGGCCGTACATGGTATTAGCATACAGTGGGTTACCGGGTGACACTGACCTGTCCTGGGGCTGTCCCTGGGGGCCGGTGGGTGGCTGTAGAAGGCCCGGGCCGGGTTCCCATACAGGAAGCGGGGTGTCGGGGGGCAGCGGGGCCGGGTAGCGGGGTCTGCCGTCCAGAGAGATGTTATTGAGGAAGAAGAGGGCGGCCTGCCTCCGCCGGGAGTCACCGTCTCGCTTTCTGCGGGTCCCGGGAGCCGTCACCCCGGGGGAACTGCACGCAGCGGCAGCCATTACTGCAGGCCAACCCCGGCTCCCCGGCCGCACACGATTGGATGTCTCCATGGCAACGGCGTAACGCCACGGCCCTGATTGGACGCGGAGCCTGTCAATCACCGCCCAAAACAGGCGGCAACCAGGAGAGCAGGCAGGTCACAAGGCACCTGAGGACAAGAGGGAGACAGTACAGCTCACTATTAGCTCACTACTTACTATTACTGACTCACAGCTCATTGCTCACTATTACTGACTCACAGCTCACTATTACTAACTCACGGCTCACTATTAGCTCACTACTCACTATTACTGACTCACAGCTCACTATTACCTCACTACTCACTATTACTGACTCACAGCTCACTATTACCGACCCACAGCTCACTATTACCGACCCACAGCTCACTATTACTGACTCACAGCTCACTATTACTAACTCACGGCTCACTATTAGCTCACTACTCACTATTACTGACTCACAGCTCACTATTACCTCACTACTCACTATTACTGACTCACAGCTCACTATTACCGACCCACAGCTCACTATTACCGACCCACAGCTCACTATTACTGACTCACAGCTCACTATTACTAACTCACGGCTCACTATTAGCTCACTACTCACTATTACTGACTCACAGCTCACTATTACCTCACTACTCACTATTACTGACTCACAGCTCACTATTACCGACCCACAGCTCACTATTACCTCACTACTCACTATTACTGACTCACAGCTCGCTATTACCGCACTACTCACTATTACCGACTCAAGCTCACCATTGCTTACTCACAGCTCACTATTACCTCGCTATCATATCACTATTACTGACTCATAGCTCGTAATTACTGACTCACGGCTGACTATTGCTTACTCACAGCTCCCTATTACCTCGCTATCACATCACTATTACCGACTCACAGCTCACTATTACCCACTCACAGCTCGCTATTACCTCGCTATCACATCACTATTACCGACTCACAGCTCACTATTACCCACTCACAGCTCCCTATTACCTCGCTATCACATCACTATTACCGACTCACAGCTCGCTATTACCGACTCACAGCTCCCTATTACCGACTCACAGCTCCCTATTACCGACTCACAGCTCACTATTACCGACTCACAGCTCCCTATTACTGGCTCACAGCTCACTATCACATCACTATTACTGACTCACAGCTCACTATTACCTCACTATCACATCGCTATTGCCGACTCACTGCTCACTATTACCTCACTATTACCGACTCACCGCTCACTATTACCTCACTATTACTGACTCACAGCTCACTATTACCTCGTTATTACTGACTCGCAGATCACTATCACCTCATAATTACTGACTCACTATTTCCTCACTATTACTGACTCACAGCTCACTATTTACTGACTCACCAAAGCTCACTATCACCTCACTATTACTGACTCCCACAGCTCACTACTACCTCACTATTACTGACTCAAAACTCACTATTACTGACTCACCACAGTTCACTTTTCCTATGAGTGACTTACCACAGCTCACTATTACCTCATTGCGAGTCAGTAAAAGTGAGTTAACAGCTTACTATTACCTCACACGTAAACTGACGCTCACTCAGTTAATATCTTACCTCACGTGTAAACTGACACTCAGTTAATATCTTACCTCACGTGTAAACTGACCCTCACTCAGTTAATATTTTACCTCACGTGTAAACTGATGCTCACTCAGTTAATAACTTAACTCATGTGTAAACTGACACTCACTCAGTTAATATCTTACCTCACGCATAAACTGACGCTCACTCAGTTAATATCTTACCTCACGCATAAACTGACACTCAGTTAATATCTTACCTCACGTGTAAACTGACCCTCACTCAGTTAATATCTTACCTCACGTGTAAACTGACCCTCACTCAGTTAATATCTTACCTCACGTGTAAACTGACCCTCACTCAGTTAATATCTTACCTCACGTGTAAACTGACCCTCACTCAGTTAATATCTTACCTCACGTGTAAACTGACCCTCACTCAGTTAATATCTTACCTCACGTGTAAACTGACCCTCACTCAGTTAATATCTTACCTCACGTGTAAACTGACCCTCACTCAGTTAATATCTTACCTCACGTGTAAACTGACCCTCACTCAGTTAATATCTTACCTCACGTGTAAACTGACGCTCACTCAGTTAATATCTTACCTCACGTGAAAACTGATCCTCACTCAGTTAATATCTTACCTCACGCGTAAACTGACCCTCACTCAGTTATTATCTTACCTCACGTGTAA